ATAATAATAATAATAATAATAATAATAATAATAATAATAATAATGGAATCAATCTGTAAGACTGGAAGTATATCCAGAATGAATGTGGATTTTATAAGTTCTGAGAAGAATGCCGTCTTCCGAGATGTGGCGCAGTGTAGATCTTATGTGAACTGACGTTTCGGAGTAAAGTATCGCTTCTTTCTTCAGGTAGAGAAACCTGAGTGAGCAAGTGGTTGCAGTCTGCAGACACCTGCTCACAGAAGATNATGCGAAAATATTTTCTTTGGCATTTTGTTCGATGGTAATAACCAGTGGACCTTCCGAGCTAGGAACGTAAATATTTTACAACAACAGATTATAAACATACATACATATTAAGTAAGCAACAGTGCTTGTAACTCAACAATTACAAGCAACATGTTGGTGTAAAGCTTTGTGGTTATATCTGACAAATCTAATGTAAACAGAATGTTTACTTAAGTAATAAGTTCTTTACAGCAATAATAATAATAATAATAATAATAATAATAATAATAATAATAATGGAATCAATCTGTAAGACTGGAAGTATATCCAGAATGAATGTGGATTTTATAAGTTCTGAGAAGAATGCCGTCTTCCGAGATGTGGCGCAGTGTAGATCTTATGTGAACTGACGTTTCGGAGTAAAGTATCGCTTCTTTCTTCAGGTAGAGAAACCTGAGTGAGCAAGTGGTTGCAGTCTGCAGACACCTGCTCACAGAAGATCTACATGGCGCCACATCCCAGAAGGCGACATTCTTCATAGTCCCCGATGTGAAGACCTCAAATCCGCTCGGAACTCCTTCCATATAGGCCTATATATCTGTATAAGGAAATCATAATGAGAATACAGCACGACGCTCGGGCTCTGCACGTGCAGTTTGCAGGCAATATGTGCTGACGGCAGGTGTATATGCCAACAGTAGTCATCAGTCATCATTTTCATAAAGTACGATTATTTATAAGAGCTTCTTCAAAACTATATTTTTCATTTCCTCGCTAGGCATATTGGGTAAACTGGTAAAATTCTTAAACATGACTAGAGCATGAATACATGAAGCTTCTAGTCATTACATGTTTGCCGAATCTAGAGATCTTCCAGCAGACATCTAACGCACTTAACTGCATAAGCAGGCAGTGGGAGGTTATGCAATTAATTCCCGTCAGAAGAACCATTTATTTTAGAATCACAATGAAGTATATATAAATTCAACGAATGCCTATATACGCGCTGTAATAGCCTTTGAAAAAAAGTTTCCACGATCACATACCTTCTGATTCTTCTCTATAAGATACTCGACACTTTCATATCGGTCAATCATTAAATCTAGGTGACACGCCTAAGAATAAGGGGCGGAACTGCAATTCACTGGACACTCAGTTACATGGTCTGTCATTACAGATTTTAAGAAATTTATTTTATTGCACTTTAGCGTCCATTTATCTATATCCGTCTAAATTGCAACACTTGTTTTACACTTCAATATATTCTTTAACACTTAACACAACATGTTTCCGCCTCAAAGGCCCATATTCAGGTATTTTATTACAGATATTCAATCAGGACCTTGTTAAAACTGCTACACTGACTACACTGCTACAAGGTCTTGATTGAATATCTGTAATAAAATACCTGAATATGGGCCTTTGAGGCGGAAACATGTTGTGTTAAGTGTTAAAGAATATATTGAAGTGTAAAACAAGTGTTGCAATTTAGACGGATATAGATAAATGGACGATAATGTGAACAATTGCAACGGGATGCTAAAATACAGAATTATTTTTTGCACTTATTCAGTAATTAATCCACTCCCCCCATATGCATCCATACCGCAGTGCTTAATTAGTTAAGCATAGGGACAACTTTACCTTTATTCAGTAATTTACCCCAGTGCTTATAAGAGGAAATGTATTTTACACATTGTGCTTGAAACAAATCACTAACTTAGTTTCGTCAGTTACTGTTCATAAGATTTGAGAAAGAACAATGAAGAGAGTCTAAATCTCTCGAGTACATGAGATCAAAAGTGAAGAAAACAGCAGCAGCTGAGGAGGCCTGCGTGTTAAGCAAATTGCTTCAGATCCTGCTTGGCTTGAAAGGGGGTATAACTAAGAAAATGAAAAAAAGGTTTGAACTTCAGCAAAAATTGCCACATTCTTGCACCAATGACACCGAAATACCGGTATGGTAGATCCGGCCTTTCTCTAGATGCAAACATGTAGGAGGAATCTACTGCCTATTACTTCAGAATAGAGGAGTAAAAACGTTAGTATCTACCTAGAAACCTACACGGTGTCGCATGTCAAAACACAAGAATCTTTACAGTTATCGCGTGAGATCCTCAGTCTGATGCTTCATGTTGTCTGGTAAGAAAACTTTACTTTTGCACGGAATATACGAATATACGAGTTTCTACGAGGTCGTGCCTCGTGTCTAATATTTTAGGTGGGATTCACGCCCATAGTTGTCGCCATAGATGTTTTCAATTAAAAAATATATCCCTAATTAATTTAAAAATTGTATAGTGTCCTGATATCGTGAAGTAAAGAAACCATACCCAAAATTAAGCCTCTATCATATAAATGGTAGTCAGCTAATTGAAATGTATTCTAAATCACAAAAATACATGCACTCACAAGATAAGGCCTTACGGCCGGCCTCATGGAGTGACTCAGGGTCAGGTGGTCATATTACCGTATGTTCTTCAATTGACTAAGACAATTTTGTTCTGACGTAAATTGTTTTGGTGGTTTCAGGAGGAAGCTCCAGGCGTAAGACACTGAGAAATCGTAAGATAATTTGATTTTGTAGTTTTATAAAGACTGCGGCGTAGGACATCGACAAATTGAAACAGAATTTGTTTTGATGGTTTCAGAAAGACGGTTGAGGAATAAGTTATGGAGGATTTGAAACAATTTTCTTATTACATGCGAAGAACGTCCGCTCTAAGTCCGGCTAGATGACGGGTCAGAGGTGTAAGGGCGAGAGCACGCCAAGGAAACTGGCAACCGCAACGCAACCGCAATTTCCGAGAATTGTTATCAGCCTGAGTTGAACAGATACAGATACAGATACTTTTCAAATAGTTTCGTTCTCAATTTACATATGCCACTGGCGCTGATGCTCATTTTCTGTCGATACAAATTTATGGTAAGGTAAATTTGTCCCCAGCCGGTCACGGTAGCCGAGCGGTCTAAGGCATGCAGTGTCTTCGCTCGCTCGGAGGCCGAGATCGTGGGTTCGAATCCCACTCAGGGCATGAATGTTTAGTTTGTGTGTGCGTTTTTCTGTGTTTGTGTACAGGTAGAGGCCTTGCGACGAGCTGATCACCGGCCCAAGGAGTCCTACCGAATGTGTAAGATCTAGAAAAATCGAAGTGAACGGAGAAGTTCATGGAGGTAGGCCTAGGCCCACTGGGGCTGTAGTGCCAAGGAAACAAAAAATTGTCCCCATGCTTAATTAATTAAGCACTGTGCCATGGAGACATATAAACAAATGCGGGTATAGCGCTGCTGTTCTTGACGTCGGCACTAGACGGAGGTGATTGATCAGCTTCACGCCCTGGCCGCTTTACCCCTGGGAAACAGCCCCCCCGGTATCAGTTGGATAGGAGGCAAGTTGGGCCTCAGAGCCGGTCTGGACTCTGTGGAGAAAAGAAAAATTTTGACCCTGTCGGGAATAGAAACCTGAACGTCCAGCCCGCAGCCCGTCGCTATGCCAACTGAGCAATTCCGATTCCCATCAATTTATGGTCATAGATCTAAACCTAATCGCATTACAATTCTCATCCTCAGCTCAGTCAGTACAGCAACTAGGCTACGGACAGAAGACCAAACAAAATGGCTGCGTTCTTATACAGAGCAAGATAATTTTATCTTCTCCACGGCATTCGAACCGGCTCTGGGATTCGCTGAGAATCCTATGCAGTAGACACTTGGGGCAAACGGTCGTCTTGTGAAGCTGACCGCTCTCCTCTGTCTAGTGCCAAGGTTAAGAATACGTTGTGGAGCTTTGACTCCACCTCCAATATATCTTCATGACGTGGTGCTCAACTACTAGTGCGCATAGGAACAACTTTACCCTTACTTACTCATGGAGCTGAGCCCTTCTTGAGGAGCCCGAAAGTTCATTACCGTGTTCACAAGAGCCCTCCACTGGTCCCTATCCTGAGCCAGATCAATCCAATCTATCCCATCCCATCCTGTCTCTCTGAGATCCATTTTAATATTGTCCACCCACCCAAGCCTTGGTCTTCCCAGTGGTCTCTTTCCTTTTGGCTTTCCCACCAATATCCTATATGCATTACTCTTCTCCCCCATTCGTGCTACATGCCCTGATCACCTCATACTTTAACCTTACAGAGTCAGAAACTATTCTCGTCTTTAATACGGTTGTGTACGCTTTACCACACATATCTCAGAATGCTTCAAACAAAAATTATAATGATGTCTGTATTTCCAGACAGACCCTATGTTTATTCAGTGGACCGCGTCTAAATGTTCTGTTACAGCACATTGTTGCAATTGTGAGACTATCAAATACGGGTTGTGATCCAAACGCACGCTCCAAAATTACAACCGCCAAAAAAAATAATATTTACTCCATTATAAAATTTGATGTAAATTCGTCGACTACTTTTGCAGATGAAACATGTGAACAGACACAGCCTCCCCGTTATGCGTTCATTTTACGCTACTGTGCTAAAAACAAACTCCGTGGCCTGTAGACTGCAAGCGAACTATACCGACCGAGCGACAGCCGCTTGTCGACGAAGTTAGTGCCAACTTTTGCGGTTAGAGAGTGTCGCGTGGTCAGCGCAACGGATCCCCACGGCCGTTGTTAAGAGTGCATAAAAAATAAATTAAAACAAATATTAGGTACGTAGCTAATGACTTTTTCTGCACAATAAATGTAATGGATGTACAATCACAACTCGTCAGCCACAGTCTCGTTTGTTAAACCGGAATGTGATGTTGGCATTAAGGTTCCATTACAGATGGTGAAGCTCGTGGCAACCTGCAAGGCCATAATAACGCGCCTCGTGTTCGGGGCACACGGATTCATCGCCATCTGGCAGGTGACCAACTTCAAGAAGAATCCCTTCTACTGGTACTTGTCCGCCCCCATCTTGCTGTTGGTCTTCGAGGGCGTCTTCACCCTTACCATCAAAGACAGCCAGGAGTGGAAGTGGTTAGTAGAGCCTACACGCCACGTGTTCTAGTAGAGTGACACTGAGGCGTTTAGGCCTGCTCTCTTTTCCTTACATTTGTTTATGATAAAACATAAACAAAAATACGACGTTTATATATCAAACATGCTTCACATAATTGAATGTGTGCAACATGACATTGTCGTAATTAGCAGATGGAGCTGTAGTCCTAACGTTGGCTTTCATATCAGGCTAATTTTCAACAGAAGAAATATTCTCACATGGCTATTGCCTCTTTGTATGTCCCTAACAAGTTGTGAATTAAATGGTGGATATGTGCTTGGAGTTCAAATCGACTCAACTGCCCCGACCACGCGCTACCGTCAACAAAATAGACAAAGGAAAACCAGAAACTGAAAACTAAATTTTAACTTATCCTATCTTTCGGTAGATGCGCTTTTTCCACTAATTCCATTAAACAGATCCCCCCTTGAAAGGCTAAGTCCTCCGCATTCTCCTCACAGGTACTTGAAAAGTCCTGGGAATTGAATAAAACCGTTTTCTTTTTGCGTCCCCGAAAGACACAAAAATTCGGTGTGTGAAACTCCAGATTTTTCAGGAGCTAGGCAGAGAACTTGTAAGTGAGGAACAGTAGCCTCCCCGCTAGTCCAGAAATTCCTCGCCTTCATAAACTAAGCAAAAATGTTAATCAGCGTGTCCACAAGAGCCCGGAACGTCCGAGTTCCGGTGAAACATTTTCTTGATTTCTATATTTTTACGGCGAAGAGCTGGTACTCGTAGTTCCGAACAGAATTTCCTAGATTGGAGGACCCACCGCAATCAAAAGGGACTCACGTAACACAGAGAATTTTCTTCACACAACAAGTCGTATGTTTATACCGTCATGCTTCGGTTTCTTTAGTTCTATATTTCTGCTCACATCTGACATAATAGTCATACCGCTATGACTCGGTCACCGGAACCCACTTCATGAGAACGAGTGCACCAGAATATGAGGCTTAATATGTGGAGCCTAAAGTCTAAGCTCTACATTCCATGAAGTGGTCGTTTTTGAACTTTTATTGTGATGAAAGATAATGGTCGGGGAGGGCAGATTTGGTGCCCTGACAAGGTCAGTGTGCACGGACCTACTTGACCCTGCTGAGAACACAGCTCCAGATTCTGTGAGAGAGGGGAGGGCAGAGTTTGTGCCTCGTAGGTCCATGTACATTGTCTTCGTTAGGACACCAACTCTGCCCTCTCAGGGCGCTCATCAGCCCTAGGCCTCCAACCGGCTGTCCCCGTGTTTCCTGTGCTCCTTTATCCTTCACAGCATGCCTAGAACCCAGGCACACGACTTTCTCCCATTCTTCCCGGTTCTCTGCCCACCACACCCTTATCATGTTTCCCCTTCCTTTTCCTAGACCAGCATAATTGGCCCTCTTCAGGGCCAAGCTAGTTATCCCGTTCTTGTCTCCTATTAGTTTGCTCGGCTGTGTGGGTGATCCAATGGGAACTGGCGGCTCATTCTGCCCTACCGACGAACCAACGGGAACTGATTTGCTCTCCTGCATTTCCTCCTGTTTCCTATACAATCCAAAATTTTGACAACTCAAGTGGTCGGCTTGCTACTTGCTTCACACTGGTTTCTTGCCTGGCTTATTTTTCTAACATGAAGGTAACATGTTCCTCCGAAACGTCAGTTGACTTTCGACAGACTATATGCCGTTATATCGCAAAAGACAGAGCTCTTCTTTTATCATGATATGATACAGTATGTATTTACGATATGAAGACCAACGAAATTATAAAAGTCAGTCAAATACAAGGTGAAGTTAATATCAAAGTCGATAATATCCTTCGCGTGAAGCGACCGGAACCAGTTCCATTACGACCTCACAATAGGAGTCCGCATTTTCACACAAAGGGCAACTTAAGTAGCACCTCTGAGAGCTCAATTATGTGCTAGTTCAGGGATATCGAAACTACCGCAACTGATCATCTTGTCTGAGCTAAATAAAAATCCGAGTGGTTTCGCTGCTATGCTTAGGACATGTACACCTATATATATAAGGGAATTAAGTTAACTGGCACACAACAAATACACTCGCTTCTAATGTTTTACAATTAGACTTTTTATTTCTGCTACACGTTTCGGTCGTACAAGACTATCATCAGGCGGTTAATATACGAATACGTTTAGTTATTGAAATTAGAGAAATTAGAGAAATGCTTCATTATAAAAACAACAACAAAGCAGTAATAGGAAGACCTATGAAAATACCGCCACAACAAATCGAAAAGACTCAACGAGAACAAACACAATACTTGAAGTTAATAATGATAATTTTCACTTCACGTTTAGACCGCGTGGAAACAAAGTCGTACCTGTTGAATTCTACATAAGATTCACTTAGTCTTATACATGCTTAAATTTTTCTATAGAATCCCGTTTTATAAATTTATATTACAAAGAAAATGTAAATTTCTTTCCTTCCTAATGCTGTTGAAGTCCCTGGTAACAAAATGATGCATTGCAGATTTTCAAATGATGAAACTAGTCCAAATATATATATGCATTCGTTAGGAATAAAAAATTATTTAATGCAGAATTTTACGATAAATATGGTCTTACAAAGATGTTAAATCAACCTAGCGCCTTACTTCATTTCGAGGTATAACACGACATTAAACGCACACCCACACGCGCGTCACAAAATTAGGTTTTCGCAGTTAATATTAAAATATATCCATAGATGCCTTCGTTATGGAGCGAATTTAGAGCGTCATACCTCGAAATAAGATCCGGTTTGCAACCGGGCAAGTTATCCTTATAACTACATTCGCAAGAGCTTCGTTATTTTCGTTGTGCTTTCTATGTTAAAATTATACGAACACGGCGAGAGCGCCAAACTTTGAACTTAAAGAAGTTTGGGAAATTCTGTTCACAGTACATTCAACAGGATATGTCTCTTTCACTGCGAAAATCTGAAAGGTTTCTGTTTCACATGACAAATTTAGAAATTACATCATAAATGAAACGTTGGAACGATAATCTCATGAGGATGAAATACGATTCAATAAATTCTCCTTGTTGAAGCTGTACTTATTATATCATACGGTGTAAAACGTAAGAAATATTTTCCACGAAACTTACATTAGAAGCTGGCACAAGATGGGTTTCATTTTCCTCCTAAAGCGGTAGCCGTTGTTTTAGCACGAATGTCCGCAAGAAGGTCCGGGTTACGACGGCACTTCCTGTTCTTCATTCCAGATCCTATCAATCACTGACAAACTCTCAAAGAGAGCATCCGATGTGCATTACATATGACGTCACTACAAACAGAGGACGAGCGATCGGTCGAATCCATAATGCTTGATATAAGAGCCTGTACTCTACGGAAAAGAAAATCGCAGCTTATAAGCTAAGTGTAGTCGAAGCGTCTATTGCCAGCATGTGCATTCGTCTGTCCCTGGAAAAATTCTGAACCAACTGGTCGGCTTTAACGAAATCTGTTATGGAAATATGCCACTGCAGTCCAGCTAATTTCAGTCATTTTTAAGATCTTTAACATCAAGCACTACCAATACTGGTGGCCGTTATGGCTTCGAAGGATGGAGAAACTTTATGCAATTTTAATATCGTACAGATTTTTGGAAAGTCCTGATATGATACGTCCATAAAATAACATTACATTTTCTCTCAGGTTACTAGAACACCTCACATAAATTACTTTGATAATCATACGAGTATTGTAGGAAATGATTACCTGTGAAAGGACGCTCAGAAAAAGTGATGAAAAATAATAGGCCCCTACTTCTGAAATATGTAAAAGCTATCACTGTAACAGGCCGTGAGGGTCCAAAGGTTCGTGAGGCGTTGAGGGTCTCACATTGTCCTTAGACAATGGGCTCACATATGGCGATAAGGCTGTCAGATGTCCTGTACCCCCCAGGAAGATTCCTGGTATTCATTTCTGTTAGAGGCTGAGTCGAAGCCAGGGCCATAGTGCGGTTGGAAGGACTAGGAAAATTTGAAGAAAAAATCCACCTCACTGGGACTCGAAACCGCGACCTTCCGGCTTGTAGCATAGTGCCCCCAACTAACTACGCAACCGCGTGCCCCCGCTTGTGAAATATGACTGACGATAAAGCTAGTAGAGCCCTTGGCACATACATATTCCAACATTCAGAAACTGGTCTGCTGCCATCGCTGTAACTGCTATAAGCATAATGATTTCACTGCTCGTCCAAGTCCAAGTCCAAGTCACATTGCGACTGACGGTCAGTCAGTCTGTCTTGGTGTCGAGCCCCGGCTGGGGCTGTTACTGTCCTGTCCATTTGGGACGCCCTCTCTGACGAGAGGTCGGGTCTGTCATTTGTCATTCCCTGCTCGCGCTGCTACTCAAATCTATGGGCGAAATACCTACCAGAAGCGCACGGGATCGAGTTCAGAGACTTGTAAAATGATTAACTTACATCCACGCAAAGCGAATCCTTGATAAACTGCACATTATCGAAGGAATTTGTACATCCTTTCCATGAGCCCGAATTTCCACACGTTATAAATGGAATTGTAGAAATATGCGAACAGTCTTACTTCTCTCCACTTGGCATAATACAGATGATCGGCCTGGGCCTCGGCCTTCATTTTTATCTAACCTCCTGTTGGTTGTCAGTTTATCTTAAACATGTGCGATGAGAACACTTAGACGACAAGAAAGCTCCCTTAGGCTCCACGGAAAACACCTAACCGGCTCGGTGACCAGGCTAATTTTCGGAAGCAGCATCAGCTTCACGTGACCGCCTCCACGATATTGGAAAAAAAAAAAGATTGAAAAGTGTCTTTCTTTGGGTTTTTACCCGTCAAAAAACCACAGTATTTAAACAGAGGAACATAAGGCGGCTTTTTAATTATATTGCCTATTCTATTGCCTTTAATATCGGCATTAATAATAAGATCTGAAATGGCGTACTCCATACTATATTGCAAAAAGTTATCAGCGGCGTTCTTTGAGATTCCTTACTTAGAACGGAAAAAAACCTGCATGCAAATTATGGAAGTCTCTCATGTAGAAAATCAAGAAGAATTGTGGATTATTTTATGGTATACGTAGAAAATTTCATATATGGCTTATGTAAGCTAGGCTTCTCTGTGGCTCAATGTGGCTGAAACTCAGAACTACCCGACAACTTTAAGTGGAAGTCTCCCACACTGAAATGGAAGAATACTCGTATCTGCCCAATGGTATAGGAGCTTACATAGGCCACAGACAGGCAGACAGAAAAAAAAACGTATATACATCAGTCGTTATTTTTATGCTTGTTAAAGAAACTTAAAAATCAATTTAAACCGTTGTAATTTCTGATACATCTGTAACTTCAACAATAGTCCTATGATTTTATGCTCCATGTTACCCAACAATAGTACTACGATTTTATGCTCTATGTTACCCAGAAACGGGGCACTAGGCTACGTAGCTAGGTCCATGACACATAAGCCTATTGGGACTTGTTGATTCTGTACCGGATATCCTTCTGCGTCTGCTGTTAGATTAGGCCTAATAGTAATGAGGATCATTCTACGCTTAAGTCCTTCAAGCTTCTTGCTTTGCTGTGGTAAGATCATACGTGTATTTGCTCGGACTGTGGGAGAAGGCACAAGTGGACTCTTTAAAGAAATTTACTCGTATATGCCTAACGACAGCAAAATCTCTCGTAAACAGGAAAAGTTGTTGTTAGCAGTCTAATACAGTATTATAAGCGATTGTTGAATCCATTTGCAGAAATTAAATTTAAATCCGAAAATTCTATTCACCCACCGTAGAATGAAAATAGTTCTAAAAGTGTAGGCATTTACCTTTATGGATGTAAAAATGAGGCTAAAATATTCTCTATCCTACCCTTCCTCATAATTTATTATAACATAATTCGTCTTCAAAGAAACATATTACAACAAAGTGAAGGAAAATATGCGGAACAAGCAGAATTCCCTTACACTTCCTTGCATATTAAGTAAATTATGAAATTACAAATTTCATATCCGTGATATTTTGACTGTCCTACTTACTGGGACATACTGTCTCGTGTGTCCCAGCTTAATGCAGTGTCACTCCAAGCCATATGCCTGAGGAACGAGGCACCTGTCCTCGAAGTTATTCAGTTATCACCAAAGACACATATGTCGTTAAATCTTAATATTAGGTCTTCCTGCTGGCCTTAAATATCTGCAGATCATTCTCATGACGTTGAATACTATGCAATGAAAATATGTCTTCTGTTACAGCAAAGGTTGCAGAAATTAATGATTACCTGTGAATTCCGGATAATAAGTCAGAGAACTGTGTAGACATGTAAAAGAGTCATGTATGTTGCTTGTTACTCTTCCAGCCTCGTACAAGGACCCCAAATGTAATAAGTACGAGAGAATTTGGAGTTGATTCTCTTGCCCGATATGACGCACTTCCGCCTCCTTCTTTTATCTAGAAATAGATAATTCTAAAATTTTGTTTGGTTTACATTTTCGCGCGGAATTCTGCTCGATCTGTCCGTCTGCCTGTACTGTGCAATTTGCGTCAGGTTCTGCCCCAGCGTGTTCCTGTATCTGTCCAGCGTCGTACCTGCCATCTGGTTACTGGAGCTCGATAAAGTTGACCGCAGGCTTCGGGCTCGAGAGGAGGCCAAAAATATCACCGCCTTTTCTATCGATGACCTCAGGGGCCTCGACAAGATCATGGGGGTTAGTGCACACAATTACTGTTGAAATTATTAAGCTCGGTCGCTGGAGCCTCGTTTGTGTCACTGAGTGTTCATTGCAGGGCCACCTTCTGCCCCACGATCTGCAGATCGACACCGAGACGTGGGTGACCCTCATCGAACAGTTCCTCATGCTGATACTCATCATAGGACGTTGGATGCTTCCGAAAGGTGACCTATTTCCTCCACAGTACGCAACTTGTTACGGTTTGGCCAGATTACAAAATAATCTAACAGGTATAATCTGGATATGTATCTGAAATCTGTGACATTGTTCTGTCTCCCAGGGGATCTGACCAGAGACCAACTGTCTCAGTTGCTGCTTGTGTACATTGGCACAGCTGCGGACATAATCGAGTTCTTCGATTCCTTCAAGGACGAAAAGATCGCGCAGGAGCCCATCCTGGTGTTGCTGACCCTGGCGATCTGGTCCTGGAGCCTGCTTCAGTTCACAGTGGTGCTCACGGCCACCAAGAGTCGCAAGGCCAGACTCTCCACGACCACAAATATTTCGTGAGTTCAGCTGATCAGCACATTTCATTTCATTTTAACGTATGGTTCTGAAATCCCGCACAGAGGAATATTGAAGATGTAACGAACCCTTGTGGTCACATTTCGTTTAGACATGTGACCTGTCCGCTTTCAATTGCGCATGCTTAAGAGATGTTATTAATATTAGGCCCGTATTAATAATTTGAAATCATCTATTTCAATGTAAATATCATATAAAACGTACCAACAACTCTTACGGGTAATTAATTTTAATACGGATATCGCTAAGAAGCGAGATAGGCCTATAATACACGTTTTTAAAATGAAGAAGTGAAGTAAACTCACATGTGGTAATATTTTATAATATCTTCAAAATCTTTCAAGGAATCAAAAGATACGACATAATTAAATTGTTGATGTATGCCTTCATGGTAATTAGAAAAACTGAATCGAACACATGTCCATGATAGAAGCTCCACATTGAAATTACATCAAAATCTGTCAAAGGATTCAAGATATCCTTGTAAGTTAATTTAAATTAGACCAATAAATAACGTTGCTTTTAAAACAAGCTGAAGTACCTAAATTATACGCATAGTTCCTGTAGTTGTCTATACGTGCCGTGTGTTCCGTGTTATTCCAGAAACTTTTATTATAAATTATATGGTGGATTCTTTTAACAAAACACACAAGAAAACTTCATATAAACATGGATCCGATTTTGTTTCCGTACAGAACTAGAGGGTGCAGAAGCTGTCGTAAATATACATGTTTATAAAATAATATGAAATAACATTAGTTATTAACATTATAACATTAGATATTTAGAGTTCTAACGCCCTGCGGCTACTAAGGCATTTTACTATATACCTGCAACTTCGAACTTGTTGAGAAAGAAGAGAAAAAAACTACACAAAAATTATTTTTTTTATAATTATTCTGATGGTTTCTTTAATGTGTTACAATGGCAATCATTTCTTACACCACAACTCATGCATTTTTTCTTGTTATGTAGCTTCAAATAAAATATACAGGGGCACTCGGTAGCGTAGTTTGTTGTGGAACTATGCTACAAGCCGGAAGGTCGCGGGTTCGAGTCCCGATGAGGTGGAATTTTCAATTGATCTAATCCTTCCAGCTTCACTATAGCCCTGGAGTAGACTCAGCCTCTAACAGCAATGAGTACCAGGAATTTTCGTGGGGGGTAAAAGGCGGCCGGCGCGTAAGGCTGACAAACTGTAAGGCCATTTGTAAGCCGATTGTCTAGAAAATGTGGAACCCTCGACGTCTCACAACCCTATGGGCTTTCACGGCCTGTTACAGGAATAGCTTGTACGTGCGTGCATAAATACCGTTTATATGAAAGAGATGTCATTTCTGAATCTTCCCTCAGAAGGACGAACAAGATCATGGTGAGATCTGACGTTCTCGTGGTGTTGAGTATAAAGATTGCTGTCCTCGGGGATGTTATGCCTTGCAGTTTGGTACCTACCCGTCATCTTTAAAGACGGCAATGGTGATGATAACGTGGCACTGAAAACATGGAGGGGCTGTATCCAATGGTATTACATTCGTACCGTGTGTTGCAGAGATGGGGCAGGCCCTCACTGTTGTGCGGGCTGTTGCTCCATCGACGTGTGGGGTATCATGCTGAACATCCTGCTGCAGGACGCGCCGTTTCTGGGTTTCCGCTTGTTGCTCATCGCACACTACCGCATCATCAGCTACATGAACGTGTTCTTCACCTGCAAGAACACGCTGGTCATCGTGCTGCAACTCTACAGGTGACTGACAAACTGATAAACTGTGCAGGGATCACACCTCTCGTCTCCGTGCTACAATGACACTTAATCGAAGCCCGTCCAGAAGATACCAAAGGTTCGAAATGGACTGGCACATAGGGCTGTGTGCGCTACACAGCAATTTGCTATGGCGTATGGAGGAGAACCAACGTTCAGTGACAAAACACATCTTAATTTTGCTACTCTTAACTCCATGAGGTAAAGCTGCTAAGAGGTTCATCGCCTTTATGGAACCAGAATGTTCATTATCGTGTCCGTAAGAGACTGAAACCAGTCTCTATCCTAAGCCAAACGAATCTGGTCCAGTTACTCATATCCTGTTTCTTTAAAGCTCGGTCTTTATAACCTCTAGTCCATGCCTAGGTCTCCCCAATAGTCCTTCAGGATCTCAGACCGAAATTGTACGTGTATGTGTATGTGTGTAAGGGTGGGCCATAAAATCCGGCCCTTGCACTGCGACCTTCAATGATCTGTTGTGCTTCCCCTTTGGATTAACCCTTTATTAATCCTACACTTCGAATGAAATGTAGGACTTTATTTATGGGGGCGTCGTAAAAGACAATTGGTTCCATGAAGAACTGACCTAGGTGACGAAATCTTAAGTAAGCTATGGCCTCACATTCACATAGGACATGTGTGGCTGATTCGTTTTCTTGTAGGCACCTCTCACAGGTTGGGTCATCTGTCAGTCCCAATCTGAAAAGGTGTCCTTTTAGGTGGCAGATATACAGAGTGTTTCACGACTTTAGGGCATAACTGCAGGAGGTGATTTCCTAGGTCTTTGTGATCAAAAAAGTTCATGTAAACATGTGTCCGATTTTGGACGGTTATGGAGTTATGACCGTTTTAAACTCAGAATAGAAGGTAACGATTACTGACAATAAACGGAACAAAATAATAAACCAGCATAATACATGATACATTTAAAGTATGAATATAAAGTTAACTTCGTGAAATTACCTTTAATTTGAATTTATTGGTGCTTAAAGCTGATTTTAGAAAATGCCACCGCCGGCCGCAACACAGGCTGCCGCTCGGTTGTGAACCGCGTCGGACATACCAACCCACCACGCCTTAGGTATCTCTCAAGTGTCGAGATAACGAGAACGCTCTGTCTGTAGCTGGCTAAAAATAGCGACCCGCCCGATGACAGACGCGGTTCACACGAGGGCATGTACGGGAATGAAAAAACGGTCATAATTCCGTAACCGTTCGAAGTCGGACACATGTTTGTATGAACTTTACTCATCACAAAGACCTAGGAAATCACCTCCTGCAGTTATGCCCTAAAGTCGTGAAACACCCTATATTTGCCATGCGTTCTACATACTCCGCCTATATCAAATTATAAAGCTTCCTCATTATGCAGTTTTCTCCGTCTCCTGTTACTACATAGTACTTAAGCATAAATGTTCTTCTCAGCATTCTGAATTTACGTTCTTCCTTTGGTATAAGAGGCTAAGTTTCATCTCATACCCAAGACTGTAAATTTGTTCCCCACATATTTCCTTAGTACTGGCGAAGCTGATGATTCTTCAGCTTGCTTGTTGCGGTTGAATCAACGATATACACGTAGTTTCAACCATCGCCCGAGGAGTTACATTAAGCCAGCCGCAAATATATGCATTCAAATCTTCGACCTACTCTCCCGTAACAACTCATATAGCTAGTAAAATATCTTGCAAGGGTGGAGGATTCTGCGTATTTATATCCTGCCTCAATATCATGAGATTATTAAACATGCATCCTAATACCCTACCTGTATGTACGTGAATAACATTCTCGTACTAAGGGCAGATTTTTTTGGGGGGGGGGAGGTGAACGAATAAGCCCAATTATACTTTCGCACAAATATGATCGATATGAACCAAACTCAAATTCGATCAAGGGCTCTTGGTGTAGAACACAACATAAAATATAATTGCTATCATTTCAATAATTTCGAAGATGACACATGCATTCATTTAGTGCACTTCGTGCATAGGGGAAACGATAAAAATAATTTTACTGTAGACGCCTATGAAGACACGCTGCCGCAGCATTGAGTTTCAACTGTTTTCAGGCTGTATGTGGTGAATTCAGAAACCAGAAAACAGAAGAAAAAGAAGAAGCTCACTACCCGCAAGAGGGATCCAGCAAGAGGTATCTCCGTCATATCCATGTCGGAGGTGTATCCTATCCCAGAACGCTGCAGGGTGAGCGATTTTAACTGTCAGACGGCTTGCATTGTGCTGCTTTTCTTACTCTTGAGTTAGGTAACCAAGCTCAATTGAACTATAGACAAACACTGTTGAACAGGTGGCTATCCTACCTGTAACTTTTTAATTTTCACTCATCGAACCAATACTAACATGGCGAGCACGAACGTTTCTGAGTAATGACACATCCTTGAAAAACAGGTATATTTAGTTAATTAGGCAGATGTACATCGTCGCTTCCTCAGAAGACCCTGTCTCGAGGAAGTTCAGTCTCCCGTGAACCTATTTAGTATAGCTATTGGTTGGCGTCGATTTTCGACTGGCTGCCCTGGCGGATTTATTTGTTTTCCTCAGCCCCTCACTGACAAGTACTGCGGTCCTCAACTAATACTAGTCACAGATTTAATCGATAAGGAAATACACTGTAGGATCGACGCCTGCTTTGGATTCTAAACCACTGATCTCCAGAGTAAAGTTCATTCACGGTCGTCCTTGTATATTGAGAACTTGGTAGCTGCCCGCTTCCCATGCCGCAAGTCTTAGCAGGGCTGTCCTGATTTTCACATACTCAAAGTAGAAGCATGCAGGTAACTTTACCGTACGTCTAAACATTGTTGATGTACCACCGATTACAGTCGCCCCTTCTAATATAAGAATATAATTACCTTTTTCCTCTAGTCTGCTCTGTTGCTGTTCTGGCACATTTGTTGCTGGCCCTCTTCTTCGTGTATGGCACTGTAGACCAATGCGGTCCAAAGTCTCCCATTTTCCGGTTTCGGTATCTTCACAGATATTTCGTACGACTCGTTGAATGGAGGCGGGTGATAGCCGGGATAGCTCAGTTCAGTACACGGACGAACCACGGGCTGGAAAACCGGAGTTCGATTCCCGGGAGGGGTAAGAGATTTTTCTCTTTTATACAGCGTCCAAACCGACTCTGATGATTACCCAGCCTCATATCCAATGGATTTCGGGGGCTCTTTCCCTGGGTTGAAGTGGCAGGGGTGTGAACCTGACCACTCGCCATCTAGTGCCGAGGTCAAGAAGAGTGAAGGTATATTTCCACCCCCTCATATCTCTTCATGGCGCGGTACTTAAATAATTAAGCACACGGACAGCTCTTACCGTTGCATAGGAAACAGCCCGCCGTACAACAAACACAGGAAACATCAGTGCTTATCGTCAGATTTACGCTCAGTTTCAAAGCAGGAGATGTCTTCTTATCGCTGTTCACAACTGCTTATTCAGCAGCCCTATATTCTAAATAATGTTCCGATCGCAAAGTGAGAGAAGCCGTAATGATATCCAGCTAACTGCATTGCTCTCTTTAAAGCAAACTTTCGCTCATGTGGGTAAACTGTGTCTAAAACATCTCTGAAGCAACGTCATCACCACATAGTGACGTAGATCGTTACATTGATAAAGTTATTAATTTCCGTTTTCATCAAACGATGGGAATCAAATTCGCCATACAGGAGGTTTCGTGGTATGACGTGCCCTCTAAAACGTTTCTGACAGGCAATGAAGTAAGGAATTAGTCTGTGGAACTTGTTTCAGCATAACAAGCGAGCAGATCAAGAAGTGTTTTCCGGAGATGATGAAACGAGCAGGAGTCCAACCGTACACGAACCATCAGAAGAAGAAATGGAACTCGAGGAAGTCTGGAATGCAAAACGCAAGCAGCGGGCCAGGTATACCTCGTATGCTTATTGACACCATTGGTACAGGCGGAAAGTTCAGCAGTAACGTATCACGTAACATTTTTTTAAGACAAATAATATTTCTAAGTCACCCGTATGGCTCAGTACCAGGCATTGTCGACGTATATGGGGCGTGAAGGAATATATTGACGAACATTAAGCTCGAAATTAGAAGAACGTGAAGCTTCCATTTCAACCGGCTTTACCCTATAAAAATCCCATTACCCATTTGTTATGAAGCTAGACGATGATCTTCAGAGTCATTTTGGAAATAGAGATAATGAAGATAAATTTCTGATAATCCTTACTGGAAATCTTACTCATCACTATACCGACTATTAATTAAAATTAATTTTTTTTAGTTATCTTTTTCATATAATACACTGATGACACTGCAAATGTTCCTGTTTGTTGTTTAACTCGCTTGTATGACTTTAATCTACCTGCATGCCTGCTTTGATGTTACACTTTACTATAACATTGAGTATATGCACACTGGGAAACAAAGTTCTTGACTAATTTCAACATTTTAAATTCATTTTATATAATTCCCAGGTAATACGCCAAAGAACTGGTTGTGATCTATCTAAAAACGGTATATACCAGGTCGTTTAAAACAAAGTTCAATCTTGAATTATTAACACAAGAGCTATATATAACAAAACTGCATCTTCTCCATTAAGGATAAAGGAACCTCATTTTGAAATATAAGCAAATAAGCCAGCGAAGATCTATACAGCAATCGAAGTCAGTTCTGCTAAATCTGATGCAAATAAAATAAAATACAAGATGTGGCAAATAAATTCTGAGACTGAGCCCATTTCGCGCATTTAAAAGCACGTAGGAACATGTTTCAACTTACCCGAATAAGCTGAGCTTTCCGTCGTGTTCCCTGTACCAGGTCAATCACTTCGTCAATTCCCTCTTATCTTTCATGCTCAGTCGCGTTTAAGATTTTGTACCATGCAGATCGTTGTGACAGTTCATAGTGATGGAGCATATGGTGAATATTAAGCTTTGTTTCAAGACAGGCAAAACAGATACTGAAAGTTTCCAGCTGATAAAACAGACATATTGTGACAATGCTCTCTCTCGTACACGGGCTTATGAATGGTATGCAAGATTTCGGAATGGCCGTGAAAAACTCGAAGATGAACGCAGTGGACGACCAAAAGCCTTCCGAACACCCAACATCGAAACATTTCGCGAATTTGTTTCAACTCACTGTCGGATGACTTCGGATGGTAGAGGAACTGGAAATTAGAGAAGAAACAGTTTGAAAAATGTTAGTGGAAGATCTCGGAAAACAGGAGATCTGAGCTAGGTTTGTTCCGTATTCTTTGTTGTGTAGAATGATATTTAACTTACTTTTCGAACAGAAAATCAGTCAAAATATAATTAAAAACATGTTATTAACTGCCGAGTGCGTAAAGCAGATGACTTCACCAGTGCAGCCAACAGAGTAAAATGAAATTCACCATTATTAGGGCTATTCCTTCCACAGGGTCTGTCTCTAGATACTTCAATATCCACTATTCAAAGCGATAGTAGATGTTCATTCCATCAAATTCTCCACAAATAAGAATATCTAACCAATTCTAAATTGTAATCAGCAGTAAAATTGTAACTATTGTAATTTTAATCTACTTATATATCAAATTGTTAATATTCAGAATTAACTTGACTTGTCATATATCATGTACAATGATCTACAGTGACGAAATAAATCAATCAATCAATCAATCAATATCAAAGTTCATTTAGGCCTCTGTGTATCAGTTCTTATCAGCTATAATAGTACAATTTAAAAAATTTATAAACGTTTAGTGAAGCACCAGAATAAAAAACTCATCAATATACAGGGTTCCAGACAAGAAGTGCAGTGGAAGGAGATACCGACAGGACACAGGCTACTCTACTGCATCCAGCTCACATGGTTCCATGAAGGACTCCAGGAAGCAGCGAACTCGGTCCACTATGACCAGCAGGTTTTGCATCCTCTATTAATTCTGTCTACATTATACAGTTTTGAGGTTCACAAAGAATGGTTCATTCATGGATAATTGTTTAAAGACAACATGTCTACAATTATTATCTGCAACTGCCAACAAATTAAATAAAATGAAAGCGGTGTCCTCAAATACCCATTTGATCTCCCCATTATTAATCATTTTATGTGTTTTGATATAAAGAAGATGCAAAAGTTAAACATAGAGGTAATGTAACACATATTTTGATAGTAAGATGTAAAGTTGTCCCTATGCTTAACTAATTAAGCACTATGCCATGAAGTTGCATGGGAGAGTGGATGTATAGATCCAAGTTTTTTCACCTTGGCACTAGTTGAAGGTGAGTGGTCAGCTCCACGCCCTTGGTACCCATTGGATAGGAAGCTGGGTGGCATATTTTTATAGTAACATTCCTATACACCAGCCATACTGGTTATACTTCAATGGAAATGAGATTCACTCCAAGGAATTAAGACTGGCATTACAGTAGGAGGGTCTTCCTGTAGTGTAGCCTATCCCTCACACCTCATGAAAATTTGTTATCAGTGTTCAGCCATTTATCTGCTTTCCTTCAGAATCGATATGCGACCAGCACACACAAGCCGCCATGACAATCGCGATAAATCACATGATAAGCATCGTCACTCATCATCACCAGCACAACGAAGATGCAGACGGGAAGGGAAGGGCAGAGACTCTTCCAGGGACAGTGATAGGCTCAGGTATGACATCTAATTGTATGTGTGTTCATTACATTGTGAATCACATCAACGTTGGTGTCTTAAAACATTTATATTCCAGAATTTAGGAGTTATTCAAAAAATGTGTCTACAAATGAACTCAACTTCATAGTGTTCTGCCTATTGGTTCAAACAGAAAACACTTAAAACAGAGCTCAGAACTGTGTCATCCACTCAAAAATCCTTCTGGAACTGCAAGAAATATTATCCTGATTTATGTTTCTGGGACTCCTGGGTAATCGTCATAACCTTCCTCAATATTCTCTGCCCTCCGATAAGTGCACCCTTTGTGTGTGTGTCCTCTCTTCTTCTACCAAATAATTCATACTTTTCTTCATTCGGTCCCTCTGCCTAGTCTTCAGCATTCTTCCCATTGGTTGTCTGATTGCAACACATATTCATATACAACAACATTCTTAATTTCATCCATGTTCCTATTATTTCTAAAATGGAAACTTATATCAGACTCTCACAAAGTATCTGTCCTGAAGGGTTATGAACAATTTTCCCTCTAAGCTTCACACACTGCAACACAGCGATGTTGCACTCCTATGCATGCATCTCAGTCTCCCACTCAATTTTATTGTTTAGTACATAGTAAATTTTGAATTTATAAAAATAAAATTGATAAAAGTAAACTGAAAATTTCTGTTATTTTTGGGAGCTTATAAATTTAATGTCTGTTATGGACATTTTCCAAAAATCGTCCCCTCCCCCTTCCACCAGTTGCCCAAGCAAGCAAAATTGTTGCTTAGAAGACACCTTGGCTTGCACACTTGCATTCCCTGCTTACAGGGAATGTTTTCCATGAAACAAGAATTGTGGCATAGACCATACAAGAGAAGCAACAAGAAAGCTGCTTAAAATGCCATCAGACAAGACCAGCGTTCCCAAGCTGGTGTTCTGTAGACTGTTATTAAATCCATAATATGTTACTTTTGTCATTTTTCACTTCCTTCTAGCAATGTATCAATGTGTACTGAACTAATTTGCATAGAATTCTCACTATGCAAGTCCTTTTTAAGTGCTTTTCTTTCCGTTATGCACTGACCTGATAGTGTGGGAGCCTTCTGGTAATATGAATTATTTCATGCACGTTCATAAAAATATATTAACTGTGAATATTTTACATGTAATTATAACAAGTCGTTTATTTTAATATTAAACAAGAACATTAATTTATGTATTGAAAATAAACATATTTGATGTTCTTGTAATAATTGTATCTCAAGACTATAATTTTTACAGTGCTATATGAGATAGATATTGTATTAGATCCTGGAAAATCCACTGTTCTTTTTCAGTCCATAAATCGAGAAAGTCTGAATATAGGTATAGATTATGATGATGAAAGTAAAACTATGACTTTTACTATTAGNAAGTGCTTTTGTTTCTGTTATGCACTGACCTGATAGTGTGGGAGCCTTCTGGTAGTATGAATTATTTCATGCACGTTCATAAAAATATATTAATTGTGAATATTTTACATGTAATTATAACAATTCATTTATTTTAATATTAAACAAGAACATTAATTTATGTATTGAAAATAAACATATTTGATGTTCTTGTAATAATTGTATCTCAAGACTATAATTTTTACAGTGCTATGTGAGATAGGTATTGTACTAGATCCTGGAAAATCCACTGTTCTTTTTCAGTCCATAAATCGAGAAAGTCTGAATATAGGTATAGATTATGATGATGAAAGTAAAACTATGACTTTTACTATTAGGATAATGAAAAATCTTATGAGCTCCGAAAATCTAAGAAATCGGCAGGTTTTAAATATTTCATTATGACAAAATATGTTAACTTCCTGATCAGTCAATGATGCTAGCAGACTGCCAGTGCTAGTTCACAGCTTTATTCATGGAGTGATAACCTCACATTTACTGTATCAGTGAGCATAATTTAAATATTTCAGATATAAAGAAGAAGACGAGATAGTCTGACAGCGCAGGGCCGCCATTGGTGTGGTGTTCTTCCTATTTTTATTGATCCTTGCACTATGCATGCTCCTGATCCATGGAGGGATATCACCAGATGGCGTGGTGATTGCAAGAAGCAAACCCCCACCACATCCACCCTACATCATTCAGCCTTAGTAATCTGTTCTAAGTTGCAACTGCCTAATATTTCAATCTGCTGTTGTTACAAGAAACAGATAAATGTTGTGACTGTAAAAAATTGAGATCTGTAAATCAGTTCATAATGTCTTGAAATGCTCAGACTATAAAATATTTACTCTATTGAATTCTGTAACGTTGTCTTGTATAATTTTTTTTTTCAAATTTACGAAGGTCTGAAGAAGCAAATGGATTATATTATGACCTTGCATGAATGCTTTTGTGGACTTAGAGAAAAATGCAAAGCTAAGAAAAGGGATTACATTTTTCATTTATTTTTTATGCAAGTAAGACTTAAGTATATTTCCACAGTAGAATATTTTTTCATAAACCTTTGAACATAATTCAAATGTGTATGACACAGTAATTGTTTTATAGGTGTACTGTATATTTGGGTAATTACAGGATATGTGAAATTTCTAAACAAAAAGACATTACTTCAAATATTAGGCCACTGTCCTTACAGTGAGACTCACATTATTACCGTGTCATTCTGTGTGTGTGTGTGTGTGTGTGTGTGAGTGCACGCATGCATACATGCATGCGTTCATGGGTGGGTATGTGCGTGCTTCATGTCTCAATTCCAATAATATTTTAATAAATTAGAAGATATTCACAAAATCTGGTTTGGAAGTTACACCATTCAACACCACTCTACTAGTAAATTGTAATTCTACTTCTCTAAGAATGACAAAATATTACCTTTTGAGGTGCAAAAACATGATACCCTTCAATTTATGATCATAATAGATATTTTAAAAATTTGGAACTTCTGTTAAGTTTATTTTTAGCAAAAATACTAAATAACTCACCAACTATGTAAAGTTTATTTATCGTGCAGTTATAAGAGCCATTGAAAATATACAATTGCTATGTAGAAAGCGAAATTGCTTGAAGAATTCTTTTGTGTTGAAATATACCAATATGACTAAATCACAAGTCCCTGAGTTGTTACGTCTGATAACTTTTAAGTACCAATACTAATTTATTCTTGGATTATTTAATGATGATGTTTCAACAGCAGAGATTATATGTATATCATGGAATTAGACGGGCAGATGTTTGTGAATGGTGAGTGGTTAAGGATTTGGAAAGAAGCAGTTATGACCTATATCTAGGCTCTGCCTATGGAAACCACACAGATTTTCCATTAGGGTAGCAAGTAAGCAGACTGATTTACCAGGAATATTTCAGACAGAAGTGTACAACATTATGTTACAGCAACCTACTCTGTGGTTCAAGTACAAGTGGATATTTTATACAAATGCAGACCATTAATCATCATAATTTTCACTTTATATGTTTGAATCATTTGTTTATAAAGATAGAAATATTTGCAGGAAATTAAGGATTGCAAGTCCTTGACATCCCTGAAAAAAAGAATAATATTGTAGGTGTCAAATGAGTTGCCTCTACTTTCATAAAATGAATCATATTACAGACGTTCTGCTAAGCAATACTGTTAATAATTAATGTTCGGATTCATTTATCAGTAAACATGTGTTTGGAACACTTGTAACAGTGCCTTCACAACACAGCATCCCTACATCAAGCACAAATGTTGCATATCTCATGCAGTACACAGAAAGGGTGCAACACACAACAAATCTGTACATAACTGTAGAGTTCATTCATATTCTCATGAGAGTGTACATGTGAGCCTTGTATTACTGTGATGAGAAATGTTATACAAGAAATTCCCTGAGTGGCTAGAGAAAGCCCCCCCCCCATGCTTGAAATACCGTATTTACGCATGTATAGGCCGCACATTTTTTGCCAAAAATTCAAGAGGAAAACTGGGGTGCGGCTTATATTCGAAATATTCGAAATCACACTTCATTAAAAAAAAAATATATTCGTAATTAGTAATACAGGATGTTCTACTCCTGAAATAATATTCCAAGAAAATTATTTTTTCTATAATTTCTGTCTGAAAATTGTGCTGCGGCCTATACACGCACGCGGCCTATACATGCGTAAATACGGT